AATCAAAATATCTCTGCAATATTCATTTTAAATTTTAAGGCTTTGCTTCTGGCCGAGCCACAAATGTTTTATTTAACTCTACTCAACTGCAGCTATAAACCCAGCTCATGGATTATTTCTCAATACTCAGCTTTGGAAGTGTTTCCTGTAAGTAACTGGGGCTGCCACCCACCTTCCCTGCACCAAGGTGGCTGTTTCTTGATTATTTCTGCCCATTTTAGGTGGTGGCAGAGAATCAAAGTGCCAGCAGCACTTACCTGAGCACACCTTCCCAACTCAGCCCTGCCCAGGTACTGGAATATCTTCAGTGCCAGCTCGTAGGGCAGCTGCACATCAAAGAAAGGAACCTCATTGATTTCATTCTGGGGAGGAAAAAGAGAAAATAATTTTCTTTAATGCACAGCTTGAGAGCAGGAGAAGTTACCACGGTATGGAGAGAGGATGTCGTGCCCTCAGTGCCACCACAGCTCCATAAAAAAGGAGTTATTCTGCCTTTCCTCCCTTTAATGGAACATCAGAACAACCAGGTACCCAGCTACTCTTTGTTCTGAGTCAGGTAAAGAAGTTTAAGTGGAGCTAAAAAGGAAATTGAGAAGAACTGTAAGGCTGATCTGAAGTCTGAAAGGCAAAGCACAAGCTCTAGGAAAATATTTTATCTAATGTTCCAGAGCCAAACAGACCCAATAAATAAGCATTTTGAAGACACGTTCCCATTAATAATTTCACTTACAGGATTTCCAACACAGAGGATGGGAAAATGAACTAATATTTTCATGTAAAACTGAATGGGAGATGATGTTACAGTTTCTTTCATTAGTGACATATTAATGTCTTTTTAATACGAAATGTTCCTGCTTTTAACTGGTCGAGTATCTCAACCACAAATTTAGAACCAAATCCATCAATTTACACTAACAGCTAAATGCAGCACGTGGATTTTTTTCCTAGATGTGTTTTGTTTAACTGGATAATTATTACATATTCTTCCTGCAGTTATCACAACAAAATCTGTCTTCTCTCTCACACTGCCTGGATATTCCAAATTTTTATACTGTGCAATAAAATAGAACCAGCCCATTCTGATCATTTCTGTGTCACCCTTTTTGCTCTCCAGTGTTCTCTCCTGGCTTCTGTCCCTCCCCAGGTGCTCCTGAACACCTCATCGCTCTCCATCCACCCCCAGGCACAAAACCAGCTGCTCAGTTAAAACCACTCTCCATTGTCTGCCTTCAGAAAGTCAGGAAGATCCCAAATCGGGATCCTCTCCTGCCTCTTGGCACTTCCCTGTCTCTG